GCCGATCTCCCACCCCGGCAATGCCTCTCTTCCTCCCCAACCCATGCCTCTGCTCCCTCCCTTCCCCATGGCCATGCCTCCTCCCCCCCAAGTCATGCCTATGGCCCCTCCTCCTGCCCCCCCACCAACCCTGACCCCACTCCAGCCACCTTTCCTGCCCACCCCTTTTGGGTCCCCAGACATACCCAACCACAACGAGGTCCACACACCTAAGGGGGCGCTGCAAGCCACCCCACTACTCTTCTCAGTCCTCAGCTCCCCCCAGTCCTGATTCCCCCCTCCCAGTTCAGCCAGCCCCCCTCACCCTGCCCACCTTCTTCTCGTGTGAAATAAAGACAAACTCGTTTTGGTCTGAAACCAACCAGGTGTGTTTATTCAGACATACCCAACCACAACGAGGTCCACACACCTAAGGGGGCGCTGCAAGCCACCCCACTACTCTTCTCAGTCCTCAGCTCCCCCCAGTCCTGATTCCCCCCTCCCAGTTCAGCCAGCCCCCCTCACCCTGCCCACCTTCTTCTCGTGTGAAATAAAGACAAACTCGTTTTGGTCTGAAACCAACCAGGTGTGTTTATTGGGAGGTCAGGGTAGGGGCAAGGAGAGAGAGGGAGAGGGGGACGGGAGAGCCTCTGTTGGGGAGGCCCTGGGGAGAGTTATCATGGGTCCTGAGAGAATCTCTCCCTCAGAGCCTTCCAGCTGATGGACCTTGCAGGCAGTGGCTGGCGTGGGGTGGCCTTTGCCACCCGCCCCGGGAGGAAGGCCTCCCCCTTGTGCTTCACTAGATTGTGGAGCTAACAGCACGCCGCCACCACCTCGGGGATATTCTTCTCCCTGACATCCAGGCGGGTGAGGAGGCAGTGGAGGCATCCTTTGAGGAGCCCAAACACACACTCCACCTGCATGTGGGCTCTGTAGATGTGGACATTGAAAATGTCCATGGCTGCATCAAGCTAGCCAGTGCAGGGGAGCAGCAGCCAGGGCATTAGTGGGTATGCAGCATCCCCCACTATGCACACTGGCATCGTGTGCTCACCCACCGGAAACTCCCAGCAGGGCACAAAGGTGCCCACCTCCAGCTGGGCACACAGGCTGGAGTTCCTGAAAATGCAGGCATTGTGTGTCCTGCCTGACCACCCCATGTAAATGTTCGTGAAGTGGCCGCAGTGATCCACCAGGGCCTGCAGGACTACCTAGAAGTAACCCTTCCAGTTCACAAACTGGGCCGCTTGATGGTTCAGGGCCAATATGGGGATGTGTGTGCCGTTGATGGCTCCCCCACAGCTGAAGAACCCCAGGGCAGCAAAGCCAGCCATGGTGGCATCCAGGTCCTCTACACGGACAACTCTGCATAGCAGCAGGGAGTTGATGGCCCAGATGACCTGCAGAAGGAGACCAAAAAAACACACAAAACAGAGAATGAGAGAGGGGTTGTGTGATCCCAGTGGGACATGCCCACTCCTCCCTGCTGCCTTCCCCCCTCCCCGAAATCCTCCCCTGTGAACCCATGGCCCCCCTAGCAGGGCTGTGTGAGGCCGAGAAGGCACAAGCCCCTGGGGCCAGGGCTTTTCCCCCACCCCCACTCCACCCCATACAGTCCCCAGCCCCTCTGTCCTGAGGGTCCCCCTTATGCAACACCCTCCCTCCCCAACCCCTCCCACCCACCCACCCCAGGCAGGGACTGCAGTCTGTGATCTCCTTACCTGCATCAGGATGGCCCTGATGGTGGACTTCCTCACCCCAAACTGTTAGCCACCGAGTGATAGCTGTCTGGTGTGGCCAGCTTCCATAGTGTGATTGCAACCCACTTCTGGAGTGGGATGGCAGGCCGCAGGTGGGTGTTGCGTCATTGCCAGGCAGGGATGAGCCAGGCACAGAGCTCCTGGAAGGTGGTCTTGCACATCTGGAAGTTCTGGACCCATTGTTGGTTGTCCCACCACTCCAGGACCAGCTGGTCCCACCAGTCCACGCTGGTCTTCAGCCTCCAGAATCTTCCCTGTATCAGCCAGAGTGGAGCAGCTGCAGCCAGAGAGAGGCTAATGAAGAGGATCTCGGGGTCCACCTCCAGCAGAAACAGGAATGCTGCTGGAAGCAGGCACTCAGGGAGTGCAGCATGACCCTGGGGGTCCGTCGCATGCCCAGGGGCAGCTCCAGCTCCATAGCACATAAGAGAGAGGAGGTAAAAACTGTGGGGTTCCCAAAAAAGCAAAGGGCACACACAGTAGGCACTGCTGAAGCTTTGTTTTGCCAAAGAGGCTAGCAAGCAGACAGCAGAAACAGAGAAGTGGCTGTCGAGGGGGTCCCTTTAAGCGCACACCTCTGGAAAGCTCTGGCAACAGCACTCGAGAACAACTGATGACCTAAAGCCTGGCTAGAACCGGTTGCAGAGGGCTTTATATGCGAGACAGCATCCAATGTGTGTGGATGCTCTCTTGCACAAAAGCACATCACTTTTGCGATGCACTTTTGAGGTGTGGACACACTTTTGCGCAAGAAGTTTTTGCGGAAGATCTCTTCCGCAAAAGGCTTCTTGCGCAAAAACCTTGTAGTGTAGACATTACCTGAGACTGCAGACAGTCAAGTACTACTTCATATGAGTAAAAGGAGCAAAATATGATCCTAAAACTGCTTTTGTATCCTGGTAAGAGGAGTGGGCTGAGGACTGTCAGATCACTCATCACCATGATGAGATTTCAACCATGAGGTAGCACACACTGATATAGCAGAGTCTGTCTTTCCACTTTCAAAATTCACAAAGCATAAACCAGCACTTTTAACAGGCAAATTCTGTCCTCAGACATAATTGCCATCTCCACTCAAGTCCATAGGAGTTGTTTACATGCATCCAAAGGGAGCATTTGGACCAAAGAGGTTGAAATAAATTGCTTTCCCTTCAATAAATGGAGAGTTTACTTTTTACATTTTGGGACACCAGGTTGTGTTCATGAACACAAAAGGCCGAATTTCAATTTGAACTATGCTAGTTTGATTCCAGAAAAAAATTATGTCAGTACATAATTCAACAGACAAGGACTTCAAGAATCTGTCAAGTGAGTGCCTGTATGAAATGAGATGCTGAATTTTGAATAAGCTGCAGCCTAGTGCTATATAATAAGCCACATTTTAGCCTTGATGTGAGCAGGCATCTCTTCTCTGAAGACAATAGAGTTTTGCTCACATATGCCAGGCTTTGCTCGGCCCAATATTAGCAAGGGCTTCCAAAAGGAAATTTGTCCAAAAAATATGATCTTGCATGTCCAGTGAAAGCATTTATCATTCATGCCAGATAGGTTTTGCTGAACACTGGTCTCAGCTTGGTGACATCTTGGTGATGGTAAAAGAAGTTTTAGTAATGGATTTGAAAAACGTATCCATCAATATTGAAAGATAGCCTCAGACATGAATTTTCAAAGGGCATCATCAAAGTGGGAGAGTCACACAGCAGCAACAGAGAACCCATGCTCTACTCTCTTTTGCATGCCTATGATTGGAGTCAACTGATTGGAGTCAAAATAATAGTAGAGCTCTCTGATGGAGGAGTAACATATATCTGAGAGAAAGCTGGAGAGCTGCAGCACGAAGGTTGCACTTTCTTACTACCCTGTCGTTGGGAGTCTAGAAGGCCAGGCGATGGAAGAAGCCAGGAAAGGAATTGTCATTTGTTATTCCCATGAAGTGACTATCACTATGTTTACCTTTACAAATATTTGCTGTGTGTCACACGGTGAAAATAGACTCACTTGCACAGTAAGATGAACAACCACGTCTTACCACTTATTTGAGTGTCACACTGTTTGAAGGAATGTCCAGAGATTGCACCGGTCATGCCCACCTTTGGTAATATTTCAGTATCGCTGTCTTTCAAGATACAGCTAAACCTGTAATTAAAATGCAGTGATAGATCAAAATAATCCCAAAAGCCCAAACTCCTGGGAAATAGCTTGTGTGCAACATTTTGTTTCCATAGTCAAGAGCAAAATATGCTTTCCAGCTCCTCAGCCCCATTTTAGCTCTTTCTGGTGCAATGAGTATTAAAACTGCCTAAAGGAAGAAGCTGCGGGGAGCCCCTTAACATTATAGCCCTTCTTGACCCTTTCCAGCATAAAATTCTAGGCATTCCCATATACCCCAGTATCATAATATCTAGGCACCAAATGTTTACAGATTTAAAATCTTAGGATGAGATCATGCTGCATAGTCAATGTGCCATTTTTGGTAGCGCTTACTATTCATATGTGGACTCTGGGAGGTTATATGCCTCAGGTATGCAAATACCTCTAGAATAACTCAGTGTTGTAGATGGTGTGATGAAATTTAACCATAATTCTTTTTGGAATAGCTAGTGCTATATCCCATTTTGTGGCATGCCCCCACTTTGAGGGGGGCATGATGGCTTAGATATGGAAAAGGAGTATCTACCAAAGATGTAGTAGGACTTTAATAACACCTTGCAGATCTGAATGCTTGCACAAGCGGTTTCCTTTCCTGAACAAAAAGTTTGCCTTCCACAGGTTTGGGAAAAGATACTTTACATAATCATTTCTAAAGAAATATGAAAGTTTTATGCAAAGCATCCTGTTTTTCTATGGTAAGAGCCACCATTTTGTTCTTTCTTTAAGCACATTGCAGCATTTCCTATGTAATAATATTACATCGATGGAGAGGTGCTGTGCGCCTAAAATACATTACACACTGGTAGTACAGAAAAATCTGCTTCCATTTCAGAGACATGGTATGTTACCTTTTTGCAGGATCTTTAGTCCATGTTGCTGGAAGGTAAGTGAATAACAGACACCTAGGATGGTAAGTACATACTATTCGACAGTATTCAAAGTTCGGTGTGAAAACTGTAGCCACATCTCCTCCTTGGAAGGACATATTTTCATAGGTCTGAGATATACATTCTGATATAGAAGTGAAATGCATTAATTGGAGTTATTGCAGGTGTTAAATCTAACACAATGAGTTGACGAAATGCAAGGTCCTAGAGGCAGATTCTCAGATGGGGTAAATCTGCAAAACTCCAAAGGGCACTCTATATTTCCTCTTAATCCATCCAGGATCTAATTTTCCCTTCTTTATACTAAAGAGAAAAACTCTCTCTGAATATACAATTAAATAATGAACTTGAAGTGAAGTGAAAAAGTAAAAGTTTAGGAAATGTAGTTAACAAAGAGAGCAGTAATATAATCTCAGATTTATACACACACGTCTCTAGGCATATATTAACTCTCTTATGGCAAAACATATCCAAACAGCTTTTATGTGTAAATAATACAGGTTGAACCTCCCTGGTCCACCACTCTCAGGACCAGAGTGGTCCCAAACAAATGAATTTGCTGGACCGGGGTAGGTCAGGTGTCCGGGATCTCCCAAGGCTCCTCTCCTTGCTAATGCCCAGGGAGAACCGAGGGTATGTCTACACTACAGCGCTAATTCGAACTAACTTAGTTCGAATTAGTTAATTCGAACTAAGCTAATTCGAACTAATGGAGCCAGACTAAAAAACTAGTTCGAATTAGCGTTTTGCTAATTCGAACTAGCATGTCCACATTAAGTGGACCCTGAACCGAGGTTAAGGATGGCCGGAAGCAGTGCCGGCAGGGCATCAGATGAGGACTTAGAGCGTGGAGCTGCTGCCTCAGGCTAGCCGAGGGCTGTGCTTAAAGGGACCCGACCCCCACCCCGGACAGACAGTTCTCAGGGGTGCCCCGCTTGCAAAGCAGTCCTGGCTTGGAGTGCCCTGAGTGCCCACACTGGGCACATCACAGCACTCGGCCATCAGACTGGCTGCACTTGCCGCAGGCTGCCATCTGGGGAGAGGGGGTAATTGGGGGGCTGCAGGAGAGCTTCCACCCCCAGAAGCCCGCAGAGCCAGCCCAGTCCTCCCCATCAGGGGCTCGTACCCCATTCCTCCCTCATCTCCTTCCACTTACCCTTCCAATATAAAGAAAATGTGTGGTCAAAAATAGAATCTCTCTTTATTGAACAAAACTCGGGGAGACTGGGAAAAGGAGGTGGGAGAGGGGAAGAGAGAGGCTGGGAGAGGGGAGGGCAACTACAATGATCAGAGGTTTGGAAGAGGTCCCATATGAAGAGAGGCTAAAGAGACTGGGACTTCTCAGCTTAGAAAAGAGGAGACTGAGGGGGGATAGGATAGAGGTCTATAAAAGCATGAGTGGGGTGAAAAGGGTGCATACAGAAAAGTTCTTCATTAGTTCCCATAA